GCTAACAATGGAATACTTTCATGGTAATTAGGTTAAGTAGCCACTGGTTAGACAGGTACCTCTTGGCTTGTTAAAGACAGTATGGGGAAATAGCAATGGAATGCCATATCCAAATTCAACATTTTCACAACACTTTAGGCTTTATGTGCGGATAGCGTTTTTCTTTCATCTCCACCCTTTGGCCTTGCACTGGTCCATTTGTTTATGTTGCTTGCCTGGGAATGGATTTGGCTGGCAACAGTTGGCTCAAATGATCCTTTAACTCCCCTCTACCTGAGACATTTAACAATGTAGTTCCTATCCTTAAGATTGTTTTTGTTTGTTCAAGACAAGCCATTATGGTGCTTGGTTTGGTCTTGGAATCCCAAGCTGCTTTCTCCTCTCCCCATCCACACACCCTCACCAGTGCTGGGAGCTATAGGCCCTACACCTGCCCTCCCAAGAATACTTCTATAAGGAAAGAAGTAGCCCTCACGAACTCATGGGGAAGAACCAGAACTTGCCTTAGAAAGCCTCCAGGTAACACTGGTGGATGTTGACACCAACTCTGAAGTTCACTGATAGAGAGCATCAATAAAAACAAAACCCAACTCTCTCTTTCCCTCCCTCCCTCCAAGACAGGGATTCTCTGTGTAGCCTTGGCTGTCCTGGACTCACTTTATAGACCAGGATAGCCTTGAACTCAAAGATCTACCTGCATCTGCCTCCCTGAGTGCTGGGATTACAAGTGTGCACCACGGTGACCAGCTCTACTCTTACTGGCCTTTCTCCATTCTTAATTCTCCCAGTTTCCTCATCACTCAGGAGTAGGCTACAATTCGGCTGTGATCACAATATGAGTTATATAACTTATCAAGTTGGTTGTTATTGGCAGTCTCCATCAACTTACAAGGTGTGGTAAGTTTTAGATAAATCAAGAATTACTTCCAACTGACTTAAGAAAATTGGCCTTCAAACCAATCTGTCCCCTTTTCTCTGCCTCCACTAAAAGCACTTGTCCAAGCCACCATCAGTGGTCACCTGACTTGGTACTTATCTATTGTGTGAGCTTCCAGATTCCGTTAGCCTTCCTGTTCCTTACAACATGCAAAAGCAGGCTAATCTGTATTCTGGTCACACCAATGAGTCCCCTGTCACCATGAAATGTCAGAGCCTTAAATGACTTGCTGAGCTTTTGATGAACCGAGATCCTACTGTGTGCAGGCTTGGTCTTCCTAGAATAAAATCAAGGTGTGGGCTGGAGACCAGAATGCTAGTGGTGTAGAGGGCAGCCACCTAATTGATCAAATCAAGTTGAAAGGGAAATTAAGTTGTGCAAGATCCCCACAAATCCCCAACACCAGCATGGACCCCAAGCATGGAGCAGGATTCATATCCAGTGAAAAACTGTTAGTTTGGGCTTCCAATTGATTCTTGCTGCAGGAAAAAAGAAATCCAGGTGGTTGAGGAAGGAACACTGAGTCACCGACAGGTGATACTCACTTTCTCCTTAGGGTGGTTTTGAAGGTTTCAGTCAGTGCTGGTATCTGGTTGGAAAGGTCTGTCCAGTATCAACAGTGTGGGGGTTTCAGTTAGGTCTCTGCGTGGTCCTCAGAATTCTGAACAAGGACTCTGCCTCCATTTTACAGCAAGGAAGGGAAGGACCAGGAAGGCCCAAAGACTGGCTTCTCGAACATGTATTGTGTCACATATTTTGCCAGCCCTTTCTCAGCTCGATTGCTACCAGCCTCGTGTGACAGGTGAGGTCATGTCCCTATCACCTACCACACAGGTGGAGCACGCCTGTTCCCACTTACAGCCAGGACTTAATTGCCTTCTGTTTTCTCTGTGCTTGTGTTTCTCTAATTAGACTGTAAGCCCTGAGGAGAAAAACTATTTTGTAACAATCTTGCTACTACTGACCCAAAGGTCGGAGATATATGTCAACTCAGAGAAGAGTGCAGCAGTGTAAGGCAGGGAGACTGGTCATGCTAGCAATCTGGAGACATCCGTGCATCAGCGTGCATCATCAATGTGGCTCTTTCACCAGCAGGCAACTTGTTTGCTTTCTATGTACAGGTTCTGGGACAGAATAAAGGGGAGTGGAGCCTACTTGTACTTTGGCTGGGCTTCTAGACACACTCATGGTTTGTACTTCATACAAGCTATAGCAAATGCATTGTCTGAGGAGAGGCAAGACGGGCTGCTGGTAGGGCAGAGTAGGGAGGGGGCAATAAGCCTGGGAGAACAGGTAACTTGTGTAAGTTGGTCAAGAACACTCAATAGCTATGGCTTCCAGAAAGTTTAGAGCATGCTCCACAGTCTGGAACTTCTGTATTAGGATACTGCACGAACACCCCTGGGGCAGGGCTATCTGCGCAAGGTGCCGCCTTCTGGGACGATGAAGGGCTGTACTCTGGGAACTGTATTCCGCTCAGTACAAACTTTCAATGTGAACCGAAGGCAGCACTTCTGTAAAGGGGAAGGAAGTGGCGGGAGAGGCGCTGGGCACTCTAGGGGCACTCGGCTGCCTTCCCGGTAGGAGCCTTTCCCAATAAATGCCCCTTCAGATAGTTCAAACTGGATTGGTTTTTTTAAATTTAATTTATTTTTATTTTTTAAAGCCTATACCAGAGTCCCAAGCTTTTCTATTGTAGCCAGAGACTGCAATGCAGAACTCAGGCCTGCGGACGGACTTTATCTACTGAACGTCGCCATGAAAAACAACTGCTGATGCAACTCTCTTCAAACAAGTGACATTGTGAGATAGCAAAGAAGTAACTCAACTGAATAATGGGGCTCACTGGGGGGTGGTCACTTACTCCGTGAGAACACCATCCTTGACGGAGAAGGTGAGGCTAGGCATCACTGGGGATGGCTCCAGAAGTAGCTTCCATTTGTCTCACGAGAGACCTCACACTGGGAGGCCAGCTCCCCTGGAGGTTTCAATCATTTTTAGGAGGGTAACTAAGAGCTGGGGAAATGAAAAAAGGCAAAAATCAGATATTCTCCTGCAGTTTTCATTTAGGAGCAGTGATTTAAGGGAAAGTGGTGTTAAGACCGAGTCCTGCCTGGATAGCACCCTGATCTCATGGGCATAAGAAGGGCTGACAATGGTCAGTATGCATTCTTCCAAGGGCCTAGGAGCCACTCCTAGGAACCATCAGACGAGTGAGGTCTTTGTCCTTTTTACTTCTATTCTAGATCCCGTTCTCTCCTTCTCTTCACATTCAAAACTAACATGGACTCTGCCAGGCAGGAATGCAAACCTCGGCCCTGGTAGAACATTAGTAGGACAGAGAGGCCAGAGTGTAACTTTTTATTCTTCTCGCTTTGTTATTTGATTTTTGTCTGTCATTTCTTTACCACTAAAAGGAGCATGCCCTGAATTAACACAAAATGTTCATTCTGGTACCAAACTGGGCATGAAGAATGTCAGTCACTAAATGACAAGTTTTTCGAAGGGGAAATTTTAGGTTCAAGGTGGCCCAATGTGGAGATAAAATATCAGGTCTCAGACTTATTTCCCTGAGAATAGAGATTTTTTTATTTGTTTGTTTGTTTTGTTTTTTTGAGACAGTTTCTCTGTGTGTAGCCCTGGATGCCCTGGAATCACTTGGTAGAATAGGCTGGCTTTGAACTTGCGGAGATCCACCTGCCTCTGCCTCCCAAGTGCTGGGATTAAAGGCGTGTGACACCACACTCGGCTGAGGTAGAGTTTTATAGCTGATGGTGTTTTACCAAAGTGTATACAGACACACAAACCCAAGCTGACCTCACTGTTTCCCTTAATATTTTACTTCCCTCCCCCAACTTTTCTCAAAGTTCTATCCAATGGCCAGCCTGACTTTATTTTTAAGGTCTGCATCACCGATTATAATGGCATTATCACATTTGCCCAGATGAACTGAGAAATAATTTCTCCCTCTGAATTCTACCTTCTGTGCACAGGCAGTTTCCCCTCCTGCAAACAGTCCCTCAACAGCATCAAGTTTTTTTGTAAACATGTTTACTCTGGGGCTGCCTAGGAAGGTCAGATTTAATAAGACTCAGGGGCTTTCACTGTCCTGTGGTGGCTCCACTTCATGTATCTTGTTAAAACCACGGGGTTGAAACCACTGCTCTACTCAGTCAGGAAGTGAACGGGGAAATTCTGCCAGTCCACTCACTTTCTCCTTTTTAGTCCATGTGGAGCTCTGACCACATAGAGAGATGTTGTCTATACTATGAGCCCCATTTAACAAACATTTCTAGAAGTGTCCTCACAGACAAGCTCAGGAGTCTATCTCCCATGTGACGTCAGTTGCATCAAGTTGACACAAGGGAAGCATATATTCCAACTTTAAAAAAAATATCCGGTCCATTTGGCTTGGATGAACCTCGAGAACATTACACTAATTTTAGTAAGAAGACACAGAAAGACGCTGCATACAATTTCACTTGGGTGTGGAGTATGAAGTCAGCGCCACAGGAAGAGTAACTCCAGCACAGCATGCACCTTAGGGGCCTGCTTGTCCTTCCACGCACACAGGAGGGAGCCATTTGAGATGATGGATGTGTCATTTCTCTTGATTGCATTAAACATTTCATTATGTACATCAATATACCCTATAGTAGACCTTAAATACATGATGATAAATTTATAAAACCCTAACCTCAAACTAACCCAAAATGGACTCAGCCTCTTCCCCCTTCTGCCCAGCAACTAAAGGCTGAACTGTGCCCCTCACTGGCTATAGCCTCGACAGCCACCCAACACTGGAAACTCAGAGCTTGCTATCTCTGCTGGGCTCCTGCTGTAACCGGCTCCCTCCACTCTTTGAATGCTTAGCTCTCAATTCCAAAAGCACACGGCAAGAACTACCACGTGGGGCAACAAGCCTGGTGCACTGAGTTCAACTCTGGGTCTGGCATCAGTGAGCACTTCATCTTTAAAATACAAGAGCTAACTACAGCTTTCAAGTCAAATATGCAAGGTTTTGTAAATTAGATTCTTGTAGTTTAAAAAAATAAAGGAGAACGAAACTAACATTCGTTTTATTATTTTTGATGGTAATCAAAACAACACTTAACAATAAATCATGTCCTAATTCAAAACAATGCCTGAATGTGCTGCCTCCCTTGGTCAGTGTCCGAGCGTGCTCCACCACAATCCAGGCACACAGACAGTGCTCCTCACTCTGCTGTGAAAGCCTCAGCGCTTCTTCCAGGTGAACTTTCTCCGGGCGCCCTCCTGGCCTGGCTTCTTCCGTTCTCTGATGCGAGGGTCAGGAGTAAGCAGTCCAGCTGCAGAGTAAACAGAGAAGCCTGTGTGAACCACGGGAATCGCAGGCTGCCTAGACATGTGCGCTGCACACTTACAACTGCCCCTAGAAAAGCCTGGGGGCATGCAACCAAACCAAACCACAAGTTCACGTCACGATGCTGGCTGTTTTCTATTTTTGGAGGTACCTACCCAATTTCAGAAACAAACACCAGCAACCCTTCATGAGTCTTTAGGAGAATTACGAGTCTTTCTTTGGTTTAATACTGTTCAACTTAGGCTGAAGCCATTCTTCCATGGCCAGCCATTGTTTACTAGGCTGACATGTATTCTTCCTCATCTTCTGAGGATGAGCCTGAACTTCTGATTCTCATGCCCAGGTGCTGGGGTTACAAGTCTACGTCACTGTGCCTGGTCAGTGAGGAAGTACACAGACACCTGTTAACAGCACAGGCGAAGGCTCAGACAGAAACAAACAGGGTTTGCTGAAAAAAGAAGTATCTTGCTATAATTTTTGTGAAAATTACATTCCTTGTGTTTTATTTCAGAAGCTAAGTAAGTTCAGAGTTATTTTTTGGATATAATCTGTTTGTTCTAGAAGAATAAGGTTACCTTCAGCTGGAAGCTGCTGCTTGTCTAATCACCAGGAACAATCGTACTTTGAGGCAGCTCCTGAGTGACTTTACTTTTGGCATATCAAAGGGAAAGTTAGTCACTATTACAGACACCAGAAAAATGCAAGTGCTCACACAGCACACAGCACCACTTTTGCTTCTTTTGTTGTGACAGGGGCTTGCTCTGAAGCTCTGGTTCACCTGGAGCTCTCCATGGAGATCAGGCTGACCTTAAGCTCACAGAGCTCCGCCTGCTCCTGCCTCACTAGTGCTGGGATTAATGGTGTGCACTCCTGAACCTGGCCTTTTCACTTTCCTCTAGCATACCTTACAGTGCTATTTAGTAGGGATTCATGGAATAAAATAATTACTATGAATGGAATACAGATATGTCCAACATTCAATTCTAAACCAGATGCACAAAGCTTCAAAACACAGTGGTTATGTGAAACCTACCCAAGTCTCCTTCACTAGGTACCTATTTTCACAAGTTGGTGAATTTGATAAAAAGTCAAATTACTTATAAGCAAGCAATATTCCAAGAGATTTAAAAAAATTAAGTAGCTTAAGCCACACACTCCGTTTCTATCAAGTCTCATTGCTGGGCCCCAGGCAGAGAGTTGGGAACCCACTTTATATGGACTAAAAAGGATGATGTTCAAAGCGCCACATGACTGCAGAGGCTACTGAATCTGCTGCACACACACAGCTTTTTTCCTGCACACGGTACAAAGACCCAAGACTACCTATGGCTTGAATGGCCCCTACACGTTTAAGCAATATCCAGCAAAATCAAGTATGCTCTTTACCCTCCCATACAGAGACTTTTCCATTTACTGTCCAGGTGACAGGATCACAAGATGGAATGAAAAAAAAAAAAATCAAAACTGTAATCTCATAAAGAAAAAACAAACAAACAAACAAACAAACAAACAAACAAAAAAACAACTCCCTAATAATGCTGGAAAAAAATCATCTATTGTTTGAATATAGTTGAGCTGTATGCTGGTCTAGCTGCACAAAAGATTATGCCTGTAGGCCAAAGTGACCTTGGACTACAATTTTAGCAGGGACAAATGTCAGTGGCTGGGAGGAGAGAGGACCTTTTGTTGATCACTTTGTAGAAATCCAGCCTGAAAGTGACAGTTGTGGTTCTGCAAAACAGAAGGAGCTAGAGGTGTGCTCAGACCCCAAGAGGAAGTTTTCTCACACCAGTGTAAGGTAACATCAACAGGGCAGCAGCAGGACCTGTTCTCACACACACACACACACACACACACACACACACACACACACACACAC